CCCCCCCCAAAAAAAAAAACCTTAACAAATACTCTTCTAAATCCTGACATATCAGAGCATTAAACACTAACAAGTCTGCTCCTTTTCTTATTATTGTCAAAAACACATAAAATAACGCCTAATTTAAATTTTTACTCTTTCAATAGTCCCATGCAAAGCATGCTGGGTATTTAGGTAATGCTGATGTAGCTTCACTCCTCTACAAGAGCATCCAGTTATGTAATCAATTTAATACTCATCAAAACTTAAAAGGGATATGACATGATGGGAAAGCATGATGGGAACTAGAAACCCACTGCCCAATTTCAGTTAAAGCAATTTATCTAATCTCAACACAAATTAAGTAAATTGCAAAAGTAACAGCATTTTTTGAGTACATATTCTTAAAGATTGCATATGAGAGTAGATTATTCAGGTCTACAGTCAACTAATGTAATCTGACAAAAGACTGTGTTGAAAGAAAGATGAGCATCAGTTGCCGTTATAAGTTTTTCCACAGTGCAGGCGAGATGTCATTTTGTGTCTTTGTCATGTGAACACAGGCAGAATAGCACCATCTTTTCTTCCTTTTGTCTGCAAGAGATAAAAATAAGATATTGTCACAGGGATTCGAAGCAGCTTTCGCCTCCTGATGCAGTCAAGAGACCAACCACTCTGTATAATTAGTCTATACTTGGATCTCTTTGAGACATTAAAACACTCTGTGGCTGGAGGTCAGTGCAGTGTCTCCAAAGCTAACTGAAATAATAAATACACATAACATGCCAGAGTGCATTCTGGGAACAAAACCCAGGTACTCAACCTCAAAGCTTTGATGGGTATATTTAATTAAAGACAGATCCTCTTTATTACATCTCTGAATAACTGACCCTCGATTCATGTCTGACTCGGAATGGATGCCTGGAGCCAAAGCGAATCGTGTGAGTGGAGCTCTGATCACAGATGTAGCTGCATGTTCTCAGAGGCCTGAAATAAGAAACATGCTGCCATTATCATTTGGCTCTGCAGTGGACAGATTGCTGTTCTGTTGTGGCATGTGCTTCCTCCGTTTGCTGATATATGGCAATTATGTTGCAAGAATGGAAATGTGAAGTCATCCGGAATTTTTGGGTAGACCAT